GTGGGTTCGAATCTCAAGTGCGGTAGAGTTTTTAATAAAAAGCCGATAGTCTTAGATGCTAGTGCTTTTAAGAGTTTAGTCTTAGCATTTATTTCTCTGGCGAAATTAATAATAATAATAATAATAATACATTTATATAAATTATTGGGTAATATTTTTGGAACGAGACCCATGTGAGATTTATATAATTTTCTTTGATATCTTGTTGGTGTCTTCTTTCAGGCTGTAGAAAGTGTTGAAAGTGTTTTTTGGGGCCGCTGCTTGTGCGGAAATCTGTGGGAATATATCAAGTAATTATTTAATTAAAATTAAGTAAAAATTTACGGAGCTTATCCTTTGAATTTTGGGTTTGGGTCTTTGTTATTTTTGATTATCTAAATATGTGCAAAATAGTTAGCTGAATGCTTACTTTTTCGACAGCATTAAAATATATTTTACAGTTATATCAATGAACTAAAACGTAACTTAATAAATATTATTGGAATATAAATCTGTAAAACTCGATCAGAAAACATCTTAATAGATTAAAGAATCAAAAAATATTCGAAAAATTTGATAAAATTATGGTAAAAGCTTGCCCAGATGGTCACTACATACTTATGAGCCTGTTCTAGGCTCACTATGATACACGCGAAATACGTAAGTATCCGAAATACGTCAGCAATATTTAGCCGGCTTTTAAGGCGTACATTGATTATAATACGCTTTTACAAATTTTATGCGTAACAATGAGCTGAGCTAAATTATCCTCTAATTCCAAAAATTTCAAATTCAAGTCCCTAAAACCACTGAATTGTTAAGCGGCTTCACTAAATATTTATAAACAATTTTTGATTGGTATTTTGGTTATTGTTTGATACCTTAAGCATGTGAAGATAGCTTAAGGTGCCTTCACATTTGCACAAATTGCCGATAAGAGATAACTTGGAGAGCAACTTTTCCCTTTACAAGACGAATTACTTATTCCATCGTAGCGCTTCTGCTTTAGGATTGTTATGAATGTATGTCGCTCTTTCGTAGTTTCAACAGCTCGTATACTATACTGCGAGATTTAATAAATCATTTTGCTTCCAATAACTTGCTGAGCTCTTTTGTATCGATAGCGATATCAGCCATTTTGATATCAGCTCTCTTGCCACGCCAAAAGTGTTCGATCATAGTATGGAGTAAAATTAGAGTAAAATAGAGAGCTGCTCCTCCTTCATTAAGTTTATTGGGGGAATTTTCTTTAAGTAATAGAATTGTCGCATGATCTTGGTTTACTATATTAATGTTATCTCTGTTATCAATTTATAGATCTGCTCATACCTTATACTTCTTGTAGTCAACGTGGAAAGACTATTTCAGGAGCTTATAGATTTAGAAAGGGTAAAATTTTTGAATTTTGTCTATTATTTTTACATTGATTTCCTTTAAATTTACTTATCATAAAGGGGGATATGTGGATATTATGATTAATATTTAAATAGTTTAAAGAAATATTGACTTGTGGTGTCAAAGATAAGGTTAAACATTTTAATTCATTAAAAATTTATTTATTTGTACTATTTGTTAGAGTTAATTTATTTTTATTAAGAATAAATTTTATTATAAATGTATAATATTAACTGCTTTATCAAACCGAATTGGAGTTGTAGCCTTGTCGTTAAGAATTGCTTGAATATTAAATTATGGGAGATGGAATTATGTTTTTTATTTAAATGTTTTAAAAAATGATTAATTTATAATTGTAATTGGGATTTTAATTATATTAGCAGCAATAACAAAAAGTGATCAAATTCCATTTTCATTAGTAACTGCAGGGGTATATACTTCCGGATATAATTCGAGTAGTTAGTTAGTTAGTAATTGAGTAGCGGCTTCATTGTTATTATTATCAGGTTTAACTATTTTTATGGCTGAGTTATAGGCTAATTATGAATTTGATTTAAAAAAATTTATTGCTTTGTCTACTTCAAGTCAATTGGGGTTAATAATGAGAAGTTTGTCTGTAGGTTATAAAAAGTTACCTTTTTTTAATTTATTGACTACTCATGCTCTGTTTAAGGCTTTATTATTTATATTAATATTTAATAGAAACGGCGTGTACATGAAAAGAAGGAAGGATGGCAGCGTCTACAAAATACGCCTAATATACGACTACATCCATCTTGTTGTCGCTAATTATCGCTTGATGAAACGACACGAGCTCTTCGACCACGCTATCCCAAGAAAATTAAGAGACGAGTGTCTGAAGGATACAAACAACGTCGCTTGTAATTTCTGGCTAAATAGAGGGGTCATCAGCTTTTACAGCGATATAACTCCTGCTTTCATAAAAGAAGCCATCAACAAAAAGACGATAGTCGACCACAGAGCGGAGCAAACTCATAAATATATAGATGTCATCACTAAGTTTACAAATGGGACCAATCAACAAGGTCAATTGGGACCAGAATAAAGCAGCGCTAAAAGCAGCCAAGAAGTATTTGGAAAGAGAACTACCGCTGGAGCAAGTATGCACCGATACGCGTCTAACAATCGACAACTTCACCAAATTGATGGAAGAGCAGCTGCAGGCTTACCAGGATTAATAGAGCGTTTCATCTGTAACATGACCCCAACCTTTAGAAAGCGCGCAAGATCAACGGTGCGTGTCAATAAGCTGGCAACACGTTTGCAGAAAAAACAACTGAATTTTTGGGGTAGCGGCAATACGACAACTGACGACTACCATCTGATAGAAACCCTGGACTATCAGATTCGGATAGTGGCCGAAAAGGCGTTTCGACCATTCGGCCTGGATAGCGTGGCATACAGAGATTTAACCGACAAACGTGCCACTCAACACGTGGACTATTTCCGGCTGCTCATGGGCTATGGAGTAGCAACATACATCCGTGAGCCGCTAAAATCCCAGCGATGTCTAGTCGACCTCAAAAGAAACGCGTGCAGAAAAGAAGGAAGTCTCTAATAAGCACCTACATCAAGGCCGAGCTCTGCAGAGAAAATGTACACGGCGTAGTCAGGCGACTACTGTGGACCGGATCCCCTTCTTCCATAGAAAAGGAACCTACACAAATGGAGATGACCATCATAGAAACCTCCTGGGATACGTGATAAGATTGGCGCTAAGCGGAATAAATTGAAGGGAAACACCCGTCAGCAATGTGTCGTGTTTCTCGAAACAATTACCAGATAAATAGAATAATTGGAATGTATTTATATTGTTATTATTTTTATTTATTTATCTCATGTACCTCATGTTAACTTATATCTATATTATACACATTTATATTATATTATATTATATTTATATTATACTTTTATATTATATTTATATTAAGTTATATTATATTAATGTAAATATATGCTAATGATATATACTAATGTAATAATT